CTGATATCTGTTGCAGGGTGTTACATGTGGTATACTATTCTCAGGAATATGCTGGCCCTTTTAAAGTATGGTCTTGGTTTTTTGGATTGCTGGCATGTTTGCAGGTAATTATTTATATTGCCAACTTCCAGAGTACAGTTGTAGCCTGAATGTCTCATCTGAAGGTTGTAGACCACGTTCTGACACAAATGTAGCTTGATATTAATCAGCAGAAATCATGTGATGCTTTTTACAAACCACGTCAATCTTGTCCAGTGTTGACCAACCACGCTCCAGTATGGTTACCAAATGTATTTCACCTCATTTGTTCAGTTTTGGTACACAGTCTGCATGTGACAGAATGATCGAAAATAGTTAGAAGACATAAAGTAATGTTAAGGTATCATGGTAGGTGGATTTTTCCGAAAAATGCGAAAAATCTTTTTTTGGCTGTTCAAATTGAGAAGACTGAGATAAATATTTTGCAAAAAGAATGGGGGAAAGGGCTTTTTTATTTTTTAAGTTAAAGCAAAAAAACTATTTTTGAATATTATTAAGCCCTTACAGCGCGTTGACACCTCTAATTAAAATTCACCGCCAGCTGTCACAAGTAACGCGAATTGCGGTGTGATATTTCATTTGTGCACGCAAACTTTTCTTGATCTGGTTGTTTCATCGCAAGTTGGCGTTCGTTCTTGTCAAATTTTCTTTATGTCAGGACGAAAAGTTCTTGCCCATTTTCGTCTTCGAAGAGGCCGAAGAGGCGAAAATCTGGTGGAACCTACAGGTTCAGCGTCGAACATGATCTTTGGCTCTGAGCGACCGTGGGTCGCACTATAACCAAGAAGAATGGTTGAAGGAACTCGAGGACACTAGTCCCGCCAATGAAGCTAAAGGACAAAATAGAACAAGCGCTAGTCGCACGAAACTGTTGTAGAACGGACGCGATTCCGAAACTTCCACAACGAGAGAGTCAAGCGCAGATGTAGATGTTGACAATGTAGACCTCGAGATTTCCTCTTTTTCAT